TGTTCTCGGTGCTGAAGGTTCCCTCTGACATAACACAGCTTCTTCAAGGATCAATTTTTGGTTCTGTTGTTTTTATAAACCAGCTCATGACCGAGGACACGTTTCTGTTTGAATGTTGATGACACAACATAAGACACTGAGCTGGTTCTAATCAGACGGTGCTGTTTGACGAAGGCTTCCTGCTCCAGCGCATGACAGCTGCTGGATTTCTGCTCGTGTCTCTACAACCTTAGAGCTCCACTCAGACAGTTTAAAGCTGTCGTCTGGTTCCTCAGCACACTGACAAACCCCTCAGTGGCTTCAGATGGTTGTTTTAACTGTGATGAAATGTAGCGCCGAGCGAGGAGAAGAGTTTCCTTCTGACTGGATCAACACTGTGCAAAAAGCCCACACCTGTGTTAAACACCTGGTCTGTCTGATGCAGCTGCTCTGTTTTCTGAGCAGTTATTTCCAGCTCATCATGTTGTTTGTCTGAAATACTCCCACACTCTAGATGATTATGGGCGAGATGTTTTGGCTGCAGCTTGGTCTCAGGGGAGTCTGTGTTTTGACGGGAAGCAGCCATGTTTGCAACGCCTCATTGCTGCAAGCGATGATGTCATTACGTTGTTGAGTCAAACCGATGTTGTCACCGACTGCAGCTTAATATCTTCTTTATAGGTTTTCTGAAGAACAGCCACAGCAGCACCCAACAAGAAAGAAGAAGACAGTTCTCCAGAAATGCAGAGAACACACACTGGTGGACTCACAGCCACCGGTGCAGAGACTCCCTCATCCATCAGCGGGATGAACCAACACATGGAAAGAATCTGGACTATTTTTACTCTGGGTCTCACACAGGTATGTCTGCTGTTACACAGTGTTCTGCTGGATCCAAGCTGCTTGTGAGAAACAGAGTCCATCAGAGCTGTCAACATCGTAAGAGACCACCACGTCATGTGACCGCTCTCGGCCAATCAGCAGGCCCGCTGGCCTCTCCTCACCCTTTTGTTTGCAGGCCATGGAGTGGTTGCTACGTGTACGGTAACCGTGCCAACTGGCAGCCCGGAAATCACACAGCAGCCAACGGTGTCACAAGGTCTCCGTCTTTGTCTGCGTTAGCGCCGGTGTCACAACCTCCCGCTTTCTTCAGATGTCTGTGGTAACGCTGACACAGATTTCACTGTTGAAGGAGAAAACCGACCGTCAGGTTTCCACAAGAATGTTGGAATTAGTTTCCCAAGAACAGAAAGCCAAATATAATAATCTTAAAATGACTGATGGATTAGTGCAAAGTCACTGCAGCAACATTCTGACTCAAGCACAGGAAGAGGATTGTAGGAAGCAAACTATGACTTCATAACTTTAACTACTGATTGATTAAAACACATGCGTCTTATCACAAGAAACAATCATGCATTTGTTCCTTTGATTGGTTTATTTTCAGTGTTCTGGAAACATGACAGTCTGCTTGGTCAGAAACCTGCACACAGAGAGCTGGTGGCGTGTAAAGCTGTGTTCATCAAATTACTGAGCAGCACGACCTGCTAACTTCCTGTCAACAGGTGACTACAGCTGCTGACTCCTCCAACCGGGTCAAATAGGACTCATCTGATCCACTCAGCCACCCGGAAACATGAGGACGTCTGAGGAGCTCAGCACAGATCTGAAAACAGAAATCATTGACTTGAACAAGTCATAAAAGTCACTTGGACCATTTGAAAGCAGCCATAGACCATAAAGTCATCTGTGTAGGCTGTTGTTTATGAAGTCATGCTGCTGTTGTGTCGCTGCTACGACCAGAAACAAAACACAAGCATGGAGGTGGCAGCATCATGCTCTGGTTCTGTTCTGCTGCCAGCAGAACTGGAGCTTTACACAAAGTCGATGGAACAATGAAGGAGGAGGATCACCTCCACGTCGTTCAGGAAAACCTGAAACCATCAGCATCCAGAGGGTTGATCTCATTGGATGTTCCAACCAGACAATGAGCCCAAACACACATCAGAGTAGTGAAGAAATGGTTCCATCAGACGACAGCTAAGGTCTCACAGCCCTGATTTAAATCCCATCAAGAAGCTGTGAGCTGTGATTCAGAGGTCCGTGTCAGAAAGACAACAAAGGTCGTTTACCTGCACTGATCCTATCAGGAGGAGGCAGAGCTCTGAGCAGAACGAGGCTGTGTGACCACATAGGAGCACAGCCGTGTGTAGATGCTGAAATAATCTATTAAAGAACAAAATGCATTCATGGTTTCTGTGACACAGGTGCATGTGTTTGAGTGATTCCATCACAGAAGACTTACAGGAATCCTCTAAAGTCCAGACGTCCTTGTGCATGTCGGCTCCTCCCTCCCCGACGATGCGTTGATCCTTCTGCACATGTGCACCACCGTCTGGGACACTTTTGGTATCAGAGGAGGTCCAGAACAGCTTGTTGTTCTGATGTTCTGGTTCAGCAACATGTTTGTGAACACATGCAGGTCAGTCAGGGTTTTATAGGAGAGACACAGAAAGAGAAGGAGAGATGAAGCGTAGAAGAAATCCTGTGACTTTACTTTAATCTGATGCTTGGTGGACTCACACAACATGTCCGACGCTGATTTTTAAAGTGTTGTGACGATCAATATTCCTGATCAGCGCCTCTCACCTGCCATGACTCTGTGTTTACCTGCCTTGTGCCCAGAGGCTGCTTTTGGAAAAATGAACAAGTTGTACAAACAAGTATGTGATGTTTTTGGGCCTTTTTTTTTGTATTTTCTGACATTTCATCGCCTGAACACTTTATCTGAAAATCAATCGACAGATTTAATGATTGAAGGAACAGCTGTGGTCTGTGCACCGCGCTGTTCATCGTTGTTGGTGCTGATGTTCAGTTTCTGAACCGAATGCTGTTTGGTTCTCATTAGCAGCCGTGACCCAAAAAGTGCAGCAGAGCTTTTTAAAAAATAATTATTCTGATTTCCCGTTTGTTGCATCAGATCAGCTGATGCTCGCGTGGCTGCAGACTCAGTACAGAAATGAGTTTGCTTAACCTTTGTCATTTAGGGTGACTTTGATATCCCAGAATTCTAACTTTGGCTTGTCCACATGGACACTGCATGATCACTGGAGTCCACAGATAATATTGGGAACTCCACGTTTCAGCAGATCCAAATAAACAACTAAAGTTTGCAAAGGAAACGGCAGCATTTAGCCAAAAGGAGGAAATCTTCACATATTTCTAATGAAATCGGGTAAACGGCCTTTCTAGAGGAGGACAAAACAACCAGTGTGACCTCATAGTTCACATGTTTCTGCTGAAAACTGGACGGACAAAACTCCTGACAGACCATAATGTGAACTTTGTGTGTCTTTGTGTTTTGACAGTTTCATAGTTGACCTTTTATGGCCTCTCCTCTCTCACTGCAGGTTACCTGAGTGCTGCTATATAAAGAAAATCTATTTTGTGATGCAATCCTGAGGCCCTGTGTTATTGATCTGGGTAACCCTTAGACAAGGCTGTGATAAACGGCGTCTGCTGCCTTTGAGCCATGCACGCCACTTTCACATGCTCAGAGGCAGCGCTGGGGCAGGAGGGCAGGACGGAGGAATCCTGCCCTCTGACCTGCAGGGTGGACGGGGACAGCACAACATCTTGGCCTGGTTCAAAGGAGGCTCGGTGTTTCCTGTCTTTAGTTGAACCAGATGAAACTGGCCAGAGAGCCACCAGCAGAACCAGCTTGTTGGCTCTGTTGTTAAGAGCCTGTGAGGACAGCAGGGTTCACGGCGTGTTGATCCAGATGTGGATGGAGGCGTCCTCAAACAGCACCTCCAACTCTCTGCCTCGTCACCAAATCATCAACAAGAGATTTTTAGCAGGTTGCAGAAAACAATTCAGTCAGACAGCAGAATGGAAAAGTTTCAGTGGACCGGATCGGCTCCCCTCTGAGGACAATGTTTAATCCACAAATAAAGAAATCGATTCAGCAAATAAGCTTTAAAAATAGCTTTTCTGTCAACATGCAAGAAGACAAACTGAAGTCTGAAACAGTCCCCTGCTACTCTTTATGTCAGTATTAATAAATAAAGATGATAAAATCTGGACACGCTGTGCCTCAATCTAAATATTAAAGTGTTCAGAGGAAAGGACTTAAACCCCGGAGTTAATGTCTGATGTGTTCAAAGGCCTGTTGATGGTAAATGTTTGTCGTGGGACATTTTAATACCATTTAACAGCAATACATCAAACATGTGATGGTTTATGGGGCAAAACACAAGATTACAGGCTATACAGTTCCAAATCATCTGTTTTAAGGTTGTTTTTTTATATTCTAGTGATGAAAATTCAAAATTAAAGTCCTCTGTTGGATTTAAAATGCATTTTTCACTTTAATATAAAAGCATGTATAGGAGGCATAATAATCACCCATGTGACATAAAAACAGCCGCTGGCAACTGTAATAATTATCAGCTGTAGAACATAACTATAACATATGTATATATATGTATGTATATATATATATACATATATATGTGTATATATATATATATACATATATATGTGTGTGTGTGTGTGTATATACCACCCATACCAACCAGAGAATCCTACAGCAAAGACACGTAAAGAAGTAATAATAAAACTAAAACAACAAGAAGCTAATCTGTTAAAGTCATGATGTTTCAGGAATATTCCCACTGAGACATGAATGACTGTGTGTGTGTGTGTGTGTGTGTGTGTGTGTGTGTGTGTTGTGGGAATCATGTTAAGTAAGAAGCAGTGACTATCTGAAGATCATGTGGAGCACCAGCAGGGGTCCATCATGTTTCTCAAATAGCAGCTGAGGCAACAAGCTGAAGAATCTCAACCATGAGAGCCAACGGGAGACACTCCCCCATCAGCTGGCCGCCGGCCAGGCCGACTTCCAGCCCATTGGCTGCACAGGGATTCCTCTAACTTCTCATTGGCTGTCTGAGGAACCAATTGACACGCTATGCAAATTGTCTCTATGTGGCAGTTGAAATCCCTGAGTGCTGAGCAAAGCCCAGCACTGAAGGCAGGAAGCGAGCAGAGCGCGGTGGAAGCGACGGGGGAGTGACTGCAGCATGCACTCTTAGAAGAAGCTGCCCGACACACTTCAGCTACCGGACGGAGAACTTCACCGTACATCTCTCTTTTCCTTGGAACTGTTTTCTTCTTTATTCCATGAGTGCCACAAGGTAAGAGTTACAGGAAATAATCTTTGCAGAACTGCTTGTTTCATGCGCATGGTTCTGTTCTGGTTCTGATCTGCACAGTTAATCTGCTACAAAACCGGATGCAGACTGAAAAGTTTATCTCAACTGTTGGAAGAAGTGAAGCTGCTTTCTTGAGAACTAGCACATCCTGTTCTGGTCTCTGACGTTGTCCTTCCCTGTCCCTCCCTCAGCGTGCTGTCCTTCAGTCCATCCGCGATGCCTGGCCCGGTCATGCCAATGGATGTGGCGATGAGATTCTACATCAGCCACTCTCCGCCTCCTCTGCGAGGCTTCCTCAGCTCCTATGAGGACCTACAGAGGGCCAAGAACCGGGTCAACCAGTCCAGCGCCCGCGGCCCGCAGCGCTACAAGCCGCTGCGACCCTGCATCAGCACCGTGCAGAAGGCGGCCGTGGACGACTGCGAGAGCTGGAGCGCCACCAACAGCATGAAGGCCGGCAAGAAGAGGGTGGTGTTCGCCGACAGCAAGGGCATGTCGCTCACCGCCATCCACGTCTTCTCCAAGTTCGACGACGAGCCGTACCAGACCAAGCGCGGCCGCCGAGTCACGGAGGAGCTGCAGTTCGACATGACGGACCTGGAGACGGCCACAATGGACCTAAAGATCAGCTCAGAGCGCAGCCTGGCGCTCGACTTTAACCAGCCCTCGGCCGACTACCTGGACTTCCGGAACCGCCTGATCCAGAACTCCGTCTGCTTGGAGAACTGCTCCCTGCAGGAGCGCTCACTGACCGGCACCATCAAGGTCAGGAACGTCGGCTTCGAGAAGTCGGTGCAGGTGCGCGTCACCTACAACTCGTGGGTCAGCTTCACCGACGTGGAGTGCACCTTCATGAACAACGTCTACGGCTGCCAGGACACAGACACCTTCGCATTCATCCTGGAGCTGCCCGCCTACGTCCCGCCGCAAAACCGAGTCGAGTTCTGCATCTGCTTCAAGGTCCCGGGCCAGACCTTCTGGGACAATAACGACGGCAAGAATTACGTTCTCAAGCATGTCGGCTGGAACGGGGAGGACCTCAGCACTCTGGCGCCCCCGACTTCTGTTGAGCAGAAGAAGGCCTCGGAGCACAAAAACGGGGGCGTGAAGGTGCTGGACCTGGGCTACGATCAGTTCGGCAGTCCCCGCATGTCCAGTGGACTGTTTCCCGGCTGGCAGAGCTGGGGTCAGGTCGATAACACCGTGCCTTACTGGTGAAATGGTCGGGATGTTTGCTGAGCTGGCACTGGAGTAAGATAACAGACACTAACAGGGCATTCAGTCCAGATCCAGCCGTGGGTTCCACCTCGACTCTGGCTCACAGCCAGAAACTGAACTGAAGCAAACAGCCTCTGCTTTTTTAGCAGAGGAAGTACACAAACCAGACAGAAACTTAACTGTTAATGTGCTCAACTGACCTGCTTTTTGCTGTAACTCGGTCATTTAGCCTGAGAGAAGAAGAAGAAGAAGAAGAACTGTGCAGTCGGAGGGGGTTCTGTGGTGTTCCACATAGTTCTGTTTGTAAGATATTCATGTGCCTTCTCTGAGTACCTGCCCACTAAAATGCAGAATATTTGTACGATCCACAACAAATGTTGAGCCCCTTTAAGTGCCTGATGCATGGGTTCAGCATGCACTGATTGAGATGTCCCTCTCAATGTGATGTCTGGAAATGGAGCTGATCAGTCCTTCATATTGAAGGGAGAGCACAGCGAGTGCACGGCGACTACATGCTTCTCTACTAAAGACAACACAGCTGATTCATTTCTGATGAAAAATGCACACTAAAACCTTTGCACCTTCATGAAAGAAAATAATCACACATGATTCAAATGGCCTTCGTTATTTTCAGTCTGAGTCATGCAGCCCTTTCTTTCCCTCCATGTAAATTGCACGTTTGTCTGGTTAAAAAAAAAGTGTTTGAGTGATGTAATTTCAAGGCGAGTTTATTGAGGAACTGAGCTGCTATCAACAGAAGTGTCACAAGAAAAGACTCTGTATGTGATTGGTTGCCACGAACGGGGGGAGAAGTGTAGAAATCTCTGTGGTTCTGGTATGTCAGGAAGAAGTGATGTAAAGATGTAATGTTTTCGTTTGCTTGTTCTCACAAGTGCAATTGTTGGTGATGAGTGTACAGTATGTGTGGCTGGAATCAAGATGTATTTTATTCTCACTGTGAAGAAGGTTTGTGTCCCAGCATTCTGTGTTTTATCACTTGAAGGTGTGTGTTGGTGACGCGCGCCGTGTCGATTGTGTATTTCCTTTTTGAAATAAATTTCTATATTTGTGCTAAAATGTGTCTCCGAACATTTTTTGGTTTTTTTTTTAAATAAAATAAATGCTGCAGCAGTTTTCACAGACTGTGCTGACATGTAATATAATAAATATAAGAGCATCCAAACCAGCTCTGGCTGCATCCCACACAGCTTTTATTCATTAAGTTTTAATATAACATGAATACAATTTTAGTTCTCAATCCAAAATACAAGCCAATAGCTTCACTAACAAGGACTGTCTATATATAAAACAACTCCACAGAAATGTGTGACTGACAGCTGATTAAGACTCAGGGCATTAAAATTATTAATAGTTTATGATGCTAAAAGCTTTATTGCGTAACTAATGTTTGTAAACACCAGAGCAGGAATATCTTGTGCAACACATAAGTTATAAATGTGCATACGTAATGAGTGGGCGTGGCCTTTACCTAAACATGAGGGGAGAGTGGGTCTGCATGTGAAAGGCTATTATTAGAAGCAGGACTTTACAAACTCCTTGTTTGTCTGTAACATTATATAATTTACTGTAAAAACGCATTTGTCCTAATGTTATTGCACATTAACACTTTTTTCAGTGTGAGGCACATAACAAACATCCAGGGCTCAGAGGCTTTTACTGTGAAACACCAGCAGAGAATAATATTTTCAATAACGGATCTTTAAACACACAAACATGGTGCCAGCAGTCGGGTTGCCGTGTGACCAGCCGGTCACTTTACCCTGACCTACATTATGCACTCAGCAACACATGAAATCAGCTCTCACACATGTCATAATCTGGTCCTAATACTGGGTTTCCTGTCGTGCATTTCATGATTTCATGACTTATCTCGTTCAATTTGCGAGACCCTGAAATAAATAATCAAAGCCTTGAGCTCTGCAGACTCCAGACCTCAGTCTGGTGCACATTTGGACCGAGCATAAAGAGCAGATGAATCCTCCGTCGCCTGCAGGACTTTTTCCTTTTTGCTTTCCTCGGACTCATTTCAATTGTCTCTGCCGCTGTTCATGCTGGATTCATATTCAGCTGGATGAATGTCTAATGCTCTCTCTGGCATGCACAATGAAACGTCCTCGGGCTGTCCCAGGATGACCTTCTAAGGCCAGAAAATTCCTCCTTTATCGTGGTTTTTAACTCTTTAAGTGCAGGCTTACCTTTGCTTTCATGGGCGTTTCTCTTGTATAAGAAACTCTTTACTCAGAGCAGCACCGTGACATAACATGGATGAGAGCAGTGAAATCAGTAACCCTGGACCACATCAGAAACAGTACGAAATGACTCCATGTACAGTCACAGTACATGTTGTGTCTCGAGGTATTTTGATCCTGCAGCAAGCTTCAGCTCAGACTTCAGCCAATGCTTCTAAAAAGTCCTGGTGGTCCAGGCAGAGACCAAGAAACAAACATTAGTATAAACCAACCAGCAGTTTAAATCAGTCTGCTATGAGGGACTAAACAACCCTCTGGTTTGTTTGCATTTCTTTAAACCAACTGCTTCGGGCTGCGCTCAGCCCAGGATGCAGTGATGGTGTCCCGGCAACACAGTGTCGGGGGGAATTAGTTTTGATTGAAAAAATGCTGTAATTAAAGCAGCTCATTTACCAAAAGAGCCAAGCAGAGCGGCCTAACATCCAAGTCATGTAAGCAGCTGTTTGCAGTGTGGAGGAGGATTTAGACAGAAGAGCAGCAAAAAGAGCAGAGAAAGCAGTTGGCAGGAGTCTGAATGTGCTCATTCACACCATTAATTTGTATTAAAGTAAGTATGAAGAAAAGAAAATTCCTCTTTGAACTGAACTTACAACATTTTATATCCAAATGTTAGAGGGAATACCAGCTTCAGTGTAGGAAGTCCAAATGAAACCAGCACATCAGTCTGTCTGCTATTAAAAGGAACTGGGCACCAGAGTCCTCCACACGGCTAAACCAGGGACAACACGCTGAGCTAAACTGTACACGCTACTGTATGAGACTTTGCTTTTCATTTTGTACCAGCTTGTTGGATTCCAGTTTGATCTTGGGACTTGGATCGGACCCGGAGGCCTCCCTAACCATCCCCATCCTGCTCCTCTGACTTCTCGCTGTGGGGTTTGTTGTGTAAAATTGAAACGCTGATCCCGTAGCGGCTTCAGAAGACGCTTTCTTCCTGAACATCGGGCTGGCTGCGGGCCTCAGCTCAGCTCCACCTGCTCGCTGATGGAGCCACATTCCTATAAAACCTGTAATTTCCTGACGGATCACCGTGAACAACTGCTTTCTCTCCACCCGTCCGTCTTTGTTTTTTCGTTCCTGTCCCGTATGAATGTAGGTTTCTACTGTAGCGTTCACTGTCCTGTTTATTGCATGTCATACTCTCATTTCCTCGTCTTCGCTTGTTTTCCTGTTTACATTCCTCGACGTCAGTGGCAAATTCAAAAGGTATGTCAGCAAAGAAAGAACGCAGTTATTATACCAACAGCATGTCTTTATTATTCCCCCTCATCACTGGTGAACGTACGTTAAAGGACCACACGAGCCTTCCATTCAGTGGTGTCCATCTAGTTCTAGGTTCTGTTATTGATGATACGATTTTACACAACTGCAGACGAGTCCGGCTGCTTTGACACTGAAAACCAAAGAAATGTGGCCGAACTACAAACAGAAATCTACAGACTTTAATAACTTCCTCCTTCAAAATAACCCTAGTCATCAAGGTTCGTCATTTCTTGGGGAGACATTTCCTACATTTGGTGTTTGACGCCAGCACCGCATGCATACAGCTATCTGAACACGGCGGGCGTCTGAAGGTGGACGGCAACCAGTCAGCTCAAATGTTCATTTTAACCAAATTATCAGAAAAGCTGCATAAACAAACTGGGACTTAGTGTGTTTTTGATATTAGAAGTTGAACACATCAAGGTAAACCATATCCGCTGCCAGTAAACCAAACAAGAGATGCTCCAAACACACCAACCAATGGAAGCCATGCTACACCTCAAAACTGCTCCAGAGAGACTCGAGGAGCACGACCAAGAGCTCAAGGTGTTGACCAGGCCTCCGAATGTCAAACATCCCAGCAAGCCTGATCCATGGAGGCCTCACCCTGCAGCCCACAGGACCCACACAGTTAGCTAACTGGTAACCACTGCGCCACCATGCAGCCCGCACAATACATGTTTACTTTAAATATTATAATTTTGTGGAGACAAAGATGGTTTTGTTCGGGTGCATCATGGTTTGTTCCGGCATGTTAACGTCGTTTTAGTCCCATTTTACCTGAATTAGCCACGAGTAGCTACTTTTCCATCAAAGTCTGGTGTTTTTGTCAGATGAAAATTAAAAATACACATAAAACAAGTGGATAAAACTTATTTGATTCAACATCTGAGAGGCAAAGTAAAAAGAAAATCAGTCATCTGGGTGTTTCACATGCATTGTTTCTTGCATTTATATGTTCAACCACTAACAAATCGTTAATTATCTTCCAGTGTTAAAATGACTGTTTTAAGTATTGACTGTGTGAAACATCAGGACCTGATGTATTACAGAACACACGCTGGACCGTTGCTGAGGTCATATTTCTTTATCTTTTCATTCACCAGCACTAAACACACATCACACAGCTGACACGACGACTAAAAGCTGCAAACTTGAGCATCAGGTCACCTGTCCGGCTGCTGAATCCCATCAGCTCATCCTGACTCATTAGTTCTTGTCCGGAGCATCGACAGAATCAGCACGAGACTTGTGTACATGAAATTATGACATATTGTCGCTTGACTGCCAGGAAATGTGCAGCCGGAGTCACGTGTGGCCGACGGCCCGAGGCTGGTCAAACATTAATGGAGGCCTGGACACCAGTGATGCAATGAGGATGCAAAGAGAGAATCCTCCCATCCTGTGGTAGTAAGGTCACAAAAACAAACCCACTCCGTTAGCGCTCCACATGTCACAGAGTCAGGTAAGGACATAGACGGCTCTGTTTACGACAATGTTCAAGTCTTCAAATACAGAATGACGTTCAGATACACTGAACCATTCTTGAACCATTGAAGCGTTTCGTTATTAGTCTCCATTAACAATTCAGCGAATATACTGATGCAGTGATACAGCCAGGAACATGCACCAGTCAGCCACAACATCAAACCACTGATGGGTGAACAACGTTGATGATCTCGTTACAGTTCAGTGTTCTGCTGGGAGACTTTGCTCTTGGGTTTCTCTCACACGTACCACCTAAACACTGTTGCACACTGAGCAACAGCACGACCCAACACTGCACGGACTGCGAACAACGAAGAACTCGAAGCGTTCGATCAATCGAAAAGCTGCTGGATGCACTGAAGCAACAGTCAATACAACAGTGTTCTGCTGGGAACCATTACCCCAATGGCCTCCTCTACCAGCACTCCAACATCCTCGTCTGCCTTAGTCGTACTCAGAGAGCATAATTCACCCACTCACATGTGGCCACAGAGCTGCCATAGGAGCCACTTTAGATTCGGGTCTTGCCGTTCCACTGTGGAGGATCGAACCGCCATCCTTGTGATTAGAGGACAACCCGCTCTACCACCAGAGCCACAGCCAACCTCAAGGAAAGGCTCGAGGAACAAAACCAAGAGCCCAAAGTGTTGGCCTGACCTCCAAACTCCCCAGGTTCTAATTCGATTGTATTAAAACGACTGCTGTGGCATTGTTCCAGTGCATCCATAGATTCTCAGTGTTTTGCTGGGAACCATGACCCCAACGAGCTGCTCTAGCAGTACAACGGGACAGAACCTGCTCAGGAATGTTGAGGAAACACTACGAAGGGCCCACGGTGTGGAGACCGCAGAACCCAAAGGATTCCCTGCCAAACAGCCCATAGTCCAGCGTTTCTGCTCCAGGAACTGTTTGGGCAGCACAGACAGAACCTGCACAACCTACACAAGGTGGTTTCATGCTCTGTGCAGCAATCTCATGGATGGGAAGTGACACAGCTCAGCGATTACCAAGAACTCATTCTGTAATTTCCCCTCGAGACTCACCCTTCCTCTTGGT